TGAAATGAAACACACGCACTACAAATTGTAGCTGATTTCGAGTTGCCGATAATAGAACAGCAGATTTACATGCAGTTCAAATTGAACGGTTGCCGAAGAAAAACTGGTTGCCGACAATACTCGCTCTCACTAGAGAAGATTGGAGCTTTGTAAAAGCGTTTCAAAACGACTGAAATTGTTAGAGCAGCTGGCAGCAAAAGATTGTAAACAAACCAATACTGCATATGTGTGCGTTCCTTAGAGAAAAAGGCTATAGAAAGAAGGTCGCTGCTTAGGTTGCCGAGAATACGTAAATTCCCCTATATGCATACATACTGGTGATCACTCATTACAAGCAAAGAAATACGAATATGCATGATGGCAGAGAAGACTTTTTTTCTTTTATGGGGTGGCTTTCTCAGTCTTTTAGTAGAAACGATTAATTTTCGACCGTTTGGTTGCGGCCTTTCTCAAGGGTTGTAATGTCTATCGTTTCCCGTTACAAACTTTTACGCATCGAGGACAGCGTAAATGTAGATTTTTCATGACCTGTTGTTAATTTGTAGGAAATTTTAAACTGATCTTTTGCACAGCACTACAAAAAAAAAACAAAAAACAAACGTTGTAGTGCTGTGCCAAAGATCACTTTAAAATTTCCTACAAATTAACAACAGGTAATGAAAAATCCTCATTTACGCTGTCCTCGATGCGTAAAAAATTCCACAACACTCCAGGACATAAAAGAATTCCAATCAACCAGTCAAAACCACCATTGGCAGAGAAGACTTCTTGAAGGTTATGTTGATTTGCGTGAAGAAATCATCGAGAGGAAATAAATAAAGTGGTTAGGCGCATTTTCTAACTCTAACTATAAATGGTCTCTTCTGGTTGCTGTTGGTCAGTTGGAATTGTTGTCAATGGATTTTAGTGGAAGCTGTGACTGTTGTTGATGCGCTGCTCCTTCTGCATTCTATTGAGCCGGTTATTTAAGTAGACGGTGCAGTTATGGATGGTTTAATTGATTTTGTTAGATATAAGCTGCAGGCAAGAGTTACAACTTTCCCCCGAAGAACGCGCTACTCACTGAGTTGCATCCACCACTTTTTCTCGGCGGGTTGCAACCAGTCGGTCTGATTTGTTGCATGTGAGTAGGGTCAATGGAGAACTAGTCACTCGCAGAAAATCAGAGCGCTTGGTTGAAAACCCACCGAGACAAAGCGGTGGGTTCAACTCAGTAGGGAACGCGTTCTTCGGGGGATAGCTGTAGCTGTAGTTAGTTAGTTTTCTTTAATATTATATTCTTTATTATCGAGACCTTTAGAAAAAGGAGGCAAGAGTGATGTGATGGAGTTGACGATTGGTGATGATTTGGAGATTTGTTTGTTCAAGAGTAATCCAACAGGTTAGCAGTATCTCTATAAACATTTACAAACAAATATGGTCTACTGCGAAAGGAAAATGGAACTACATCTGCAGGATTGTATTAGTGCCGCAGTTGTAAAAAAATGGAAAGAAGTCGCTTCTTCAATTCTCTTTCCCCAAGTTTGATTTTTTTTCGTTCGCAAATTTCTTCTATTCAACGACGCTGTCATTCCTCTGCGCTTTACAAGAGCATAGAAACTCCATCAACAGCTCCTAAAGTGGTAATCCTCATTCAGCTATGCCAGTTGTTTCGGTTAGCCGGGTGGGACTTTTTTTTATGATAGCTATATTTTTGACAGCTGTCAGCCAAAGTTTTAATGGGGCAGCCTAATAAAATGATATTTTAAATCCCATTATTCGTCGAATTGCGAATGTAAGGGATCGAATGCCGTTGTTAAACGATGATGCCTGAGCTGTTGAACTGTGGCAGTGGGAAGCCGCTCAAGATTTGCGGTTATTTGCGCCATTTGACGATGGATAAATTTATGGGCTTATCCTGTAGCGGCTGCGGAGGAGCTGTTTTTTGTGTTTTTGTAAGGAAGTTGGTGCTGGAAATGAATGCTCCGTTTATATGGAATAAGTAAACAGTCAACTACGAATATATATATACTCGGCTATGGAAAACTCACATGCAAGCAAAAGTGTCAGCACTACGTACACCACTAAAGCCGGAATATTCATTAGTGGTAGAAACTTTTGAACGAAGAGTTCCCACTAGACCCAGCCTAACAAAGTTTTTCTGTTTTGAGCAATTCAACTAATTTTCCATGTTAGGAAGCTTTGTCTCCGGAAGAAGAGTGATACTGAAGTTTTGAACGAGCAATTCCGCACCCTGATAAGGATGTTAAAGCAAGCAGTAATTTATCCTAATTAGTTGAGAAATCCGTGCCAGTAAAATAACACACAATTCACTTGCTCCGTTAGGGGTGAAAGGCATTAAGTAAACTTTTGGTTTGATAACGGATAAATTCTAAGCAAGGGAAGCTCAGATGTGTCAAGATTATTCCAAATCAATCATCCTCACATTCCTTCTGTTGCGAGCTACCTAGAAGAGGTTCCCTTTCTTCGTCTCTCAGATTGGATGCTTGATTAGCAATCTGAGCGGGCTCTTCATTCGAGATTCAAATCAAACCGGAAGCTTCCTTACCGCTGCTACCTCTTTGTCGCTACAAATTATCCGTAACGAACGAGAAATCAACCTGTTATTCCTTTGGGATATAGAGCAGCGACAAACGAGACGAGGAAAGTTAGAAGAAGGAAAACAAATATCTACCTCCTGCCCTTTCTCCTCCTCCTCCTTCTCCTCCTCCTCTTCCGCTCCCTTGAGACAGAATTCGTACTCCGCCTTCTTCACTGGGACTCGCGAGATGATGAGGACAAAAGAAAAAATAAAACGGGCCAAAAGAAAAACACAAAATTGCCTAAGCAAATAACCGCCGGGGACTTTTCATCTCCGTCTTCGTTAGAAGATTGAGAAAAATGGAAATTAGGTTGACCAGCAGCGGTACAAAGAAGCGCACGGGCGGCGTCAGTGGGAGAAATGAACCAACAAGGATGACTACTCTTGACGAAGGATGTATCTTAAATCGATGTCAAATTGTTGAAAGCTTTAAAATGAAGTGGTTCCGTGAAGAACCTTGGGATCGATTTTCGAGCAGTTGCGGAAAGGTATCGATTTCAGTGTTAAGTGTCTACCTACCTACCAATCGATCAAACAATTGGTTCTGGAGACATTTTGACAAAATAGTGCATGAGAAAAAGGCACATGGCACTGATGAGTGATTTAATCTGGGTTCTACACATTACAATTATTTTCTGCCATAATTTTGTTTTCCTTTACATGTCACAAAGCACTTTAAGGTTAAATGGGTCACACCAAAACTTGCATGTTGCACAGAGGGTAACTGAATGGGAGTTGAGCCAAGAGCGTACCGGTAGAGCAAACACTTTTGTGTCACTGTTTTCTGGTGCTGAATGGATGGTCATTGAAAGTTTTACCCATAAACTTTTAATTTAACTTCTTCCCGTATCCTCTTAGGGTGGGACTGAAGCACAGTTTTAAACGTTAAGATTGCCCTTAATCGAATCTGGGTTTCTCATTTTTGTTGCTGGTAATGCGTTGCGAAGTTTGCCCTACAAAAGTACCGTTCTGCCCCCATTGTGCACCACCTTACCGTTCTGCCCAGAATCATTTGCCCTCGGAAACACATCAAGTATAAGAGTTTTCTAAAGTGTGGTGAAAATTTGAGTCCAAAATATTAAGAAATAAAAAATTCCTCCCATGGTGAAAATAGAATATTTTTTGACAATTTTGATACCTGCCGGTAATCAGTCTGTTTACTGTAGTTACTATAACAAAAACAAAATGTTTGTAAATTTATTAGAATCTACTAATTTTGTAAGATCACGAATAGCTTATTTGGTTGTGGAGTAATCTCTTCTGAAAGTTGAAATTAAAAAAAATCTTGAAAATCCAGGGTTGTATCCCAGAAGGAGCTAGACACATAGGAGCAAAATCAAAAAAGGTATTTGTTCAGAATGCCAAAATAAGAGTTTTGGCCAAATTTGGCTCAAATCGGTGACACCGACCACAACTTTTTAAAATTATGTACCCACTGAGCTGAAATGACCCATTTGGTATAGACTTAGTTATGTCCAATTTATATTCGATTTAACGATTAACGAACCTAAAAATAGAATATTTTTTTTTCGAATACCGTGAAATCTTGTTTTTGGAAACACATATGCTTCAACTATTTTTTTCAAAATCGAGACATTTTTCGAATTGTTACATAATTTATACAGTACTTTCCCGATTTTGTCAACCCTTTCTCCTAAAACATCTGACAAAATCGGGAAATGTTTTCCTGACTATTTTTTCGATAAAAAATATTACAGAATAACTAACTTCATATAGAATAAGATGGGCAAATGCGCGCCATGGGATAATATGGCCAACAGTGCTTATTTAAGTGTATTTTAAAACAAATTTAATGGGTTTTCACCCAGAATCACAAGAAGAGCTGCAAAACTATCATCTGCAAAACTGTTTATCTCAATTAATCTTTCAAAAGTACGAGAAAAAACGCTGTTGGTCATGTTATCTCGAGGCACATTTTGCTCCATCTTACCCTACGTATGAAATTTATTTGTTAATACTGTTCTAAACCATCAAATAATTAGAATGCTTGAATCAATTTTTCCTTAGGAAAGTTTCAAGAAGCCTGACCTGTAGTGAAGTTCGCACGGTGTGATATCCACTGTCACTGTCATCCACCAGGGTGATGCCGATAGGGATCATACCGGCGATAACGCATACTGCTTCCGACGAGATAGTTCTGTACGCACTCACGACTCGCATAGCCATGAGCCGGAACGTACTGCTGGACCCAGGCTGGACCTCCATAACTCAGTATCGACGACGACACACTGGCCAGAAGACGCCTCTTGCTACTGCTGGGACCAGCGCGATAGCCTTCGAAGCCTGGCGTGCTCCACGACGGTGATTTCTGCCCGCTGTACCGCTTTACAGTTACTGACCAACAGCACTTCCGTTTTGCGGTGTGCTATCTGCAGCTTCACTCCTTGCATCCAGTTACCAATCATGTCGATCTCCTCGGTTGACAACACTTCCACCTCTTCCAGCGTCTCGCCTGTTACTGTCAACACGACCTCGTCCGCAAAGCCAACGATCTGAACTCCATTGGGCAGCTTCAGCGTTAGCACGCTGTTGTACATCCCATTCCAGAGCGTTGGACCAAGGATGAAGCCTTGCGGAACACCCGTGTGATCTTAATCGATCTCTGTCCCATGTCTGTCTCGTAGACCAGAATCCGGTTCTGGAAATACCTCCTCAGGATCCTGCACAGGTAATCAGGGACCCTCATTATATGCAGCGCTTCGGCGATGGCCTCCCAGCTGGCGCTGTTGAACGCATTCACGGCGCAATATCGATCTCCTCTCCGCTTCTGTTTGGACGCCTTCTCGGCTCTCTCGACCACTGTCCGAATTGCATCCACCGTCGATCTTCTCCACTTCCGGAATCCGCACTACCTCTCCGACAATTCGTGCTCACTCTCCGTGCATTTCATCAGCCTGTTTAGGATGATCCTCTTCAAGAGTTTTCCGAATGTATTCAGCAGGCATGGCTCCCCCGGTGGTTTTTCTGGTTTCGGCAGCAACACTAGCTTCTGTACCTTCCATCTGTCAGTAAAGTGACCCTCCTCCAGGCCTTTCTGCAGCACCATCCTGAACATGTCCGGGGACGCCTGGATCGCCACTATCAACGCTACGTTAGGGATTCCATCCGGACCGGGAGCTTTCTTTACCTTCAATCCTTTCGCCACGGTGTAGGGGGCCAAGTCGTTGGGTCGTGCTTCGGGAAAAGTCCTTCCACGATGACTTTCAGCTTCCTTTGGGCACATTTCAGCGGGCATCGTTAGACCCCTGATCTCCGCCATCACTACTCGGAATGCGTCGCCCCACGGGCTGGCATCAGCGTCTCGACACAGCTCCTTAAAACAGTTCGACTTGCTCTGCTTTATCTCTCGTTTAAGTGCGGCCCTGACCACTCGAAACACTCCTCTTCGTTCCTCTCTATCTACTTCTGATCTTGCTCTCTGAACAAGTCTTCTGGCTGTGAGACAACTAGCGTGGAGGGTGATAAGTGCCTCGTTGCACCAGTAAACTGGACGCCGTCTGTTATTTGGCTCCAGTTTCTTCGGCATGGTCGTGTCACATGTTCTCACTAACGTTTCTCTCAACTCGTCCGCATTCAAAACAGTGGGGCTCCTGTCGACACGAAGTGCCTCAACGAAAAGATCCTTGTCGAAAGTTTTCGTCTTCCACTTCCGGTCACAAGTTCTCATCCTCAGTACTGGCACAGTATTCCGTTAGCCGATGCCGTATCGGACCGCCTGATAGTCGCTATGGGTATATCCTTCGCATACTCTCCAATCCATGTTTGCCACCAGCGACGGACTGCAGAAAGTAACGTCGATAATGGATTCCCGGCCATCTCTGCGAAAAGTGCTGCTGGTCATGCTTGGCATACACAGTTTTGGTCACGAACTGCTCATTTGCTAATAACTTTGCACACAGTTGATGGAACATAGTTCTTTTTGAAGCAGTAGATAGAATAGTTATAGATATGTAAAAAAAAGTAGATTTTAATGCTAGTAGTAAACTGTATTTGTTTTTGCGTTGTAAAAATAAGGTGAGAAATGCTCATTAAACATCTCGGAATTTAAGTGTTAAATTGATTAGTGTTGTTTCAAATGCTTGACCTAATCTTCGCAAATCTATAGTAAACTATGAGCCTAATCCAACAAATTACTTTAAAGAAAAATAAATTTCAACATCTGAGTGAAAAGTTATAACCAAATGAGCAGTTGGTGTGTACAACTGTGCATGCCAAGCATGCTGCTGGTGCCTTTATTGGCCAGCATAACTTCCAGTTTTGCCAGTGCTTCCAGCAGACTGTGCCCTCTCGCAGTGGAACATCTGCTTCCCCACTACACTGCCCAAGCTTCCGATGACTACCGGTCGTCGTCCGATCAGTTCTTCGGTAAATCCATCCAGCATCTCATGGAACTTCTTCATCGTCCATCTGAGAGGTGCGTAACAACTACATATTTAGATTCCGTTGATTTTTGGCGATAACGAAACCTTCGTATGAGCTCACAACCACTTCTTGAATGGGGTATCTGCCCATTACTTGTATAGTCGCCATCCCAGCTCTATCCGCCACCCAGTTACCGTTATCGGGAGGGACTCGATACGGTTCCGCAATGAGTAATGTCTCAATGATTGAGGTTTAATTGAATTACCTCCATTACTGTTGGCCTTCCATCGCCTTTTTGTATGCTAGGCATTTGAAGCCTCCCGTCGTACGATCGTTTCCGTCCTCTTTTTTGCAGAGCATACACCTCAGTTGCTTCTTGCAGCTTCTTACAATTTGACCTTTCTCTCCGAATTTCCTGCACCGATCAGATCTGTCAGGGCCATTGCAGTTCCTAGCCTGGTGACCGAAACCCATGCACTTGAATCATCGCTCCAGTTGCTTGGTAACCCGAGGAGTGGCTTTCAGCGAGCACACTGACCAGCCAACTTTGACCTTGCCCGTCTCCAACAGCTTATTCGCTGCAACTGTCGAAAGCCGCATCACCGCCGTTTGCATGCCGCCGGATTGACATCGGGACATCTCCCAGATTGCAATGCACTCTCAACACACTTCTTAGCTCCTCTTCTGTGGTGATCTCGGCTTCGGTTTCGGCTTCTCGACGGTACAACTTCCTCCTTGTTGGCTTCCTTGTTGTTCTTTATTTCTTTTTCAACTCCTCTTCCTCTCCTGGCGTTTCCTTTTTCCTCTTCACCGAGCGTGGATTTCGAGGTCCCTTCGGCGTCTCCTGTGTTTCAGCTGCTGCTTTCTCCTTGGCCTCGATCAGCGCCCTTTCAACAGTCACGGATCTTGTCTTCAGCGCATCCTGTTCACGTTCGGCAGCAATCATGGCGGATTTGATGCCTGTCACCATTTCATTTATTGCCTTGTAGACGTTGCTCTTATCCTTGATGAAGTCATGGAGTTCATTGATCCTCCTCCTGATCTCCGTCATTTTGGTCTTCCCAAGCTACAATCCTTCTTGGGGTGTGCTACTGCTGGATTTCGGTGTGAACCTCTGGCATAGCACAAGACCAAGCTCTCCTTGGTGTCCTTGCTGCTCACCTTGGGGCTTACTGCTGCTGCTGGAACTCGCTGTGGCTTCCAGGTTCAACACTGGTGATCTCTGCAATATCCCGCTCCTTGCGAACACGTTCGCTCCTCCGTATTCACTTCCTGGCGTCTTGCCTTCGTCCGTCATATTTTTTGGGTTTTCTTTTTTGTTTTTTTCTCCATTTTTCTCCATTCTGTTGGGTCCCTCCTCTAGGCCGCTATCTTCACTCGTTGTATGTATAGGCGACTACATGATTCTCCCATGGTTCTCTATGCAAGCAGGGAGGCCATGGGGCCGTGTTCAGAGCCAGATCACTGTAAGTAACACCTGAGCCTACTACTCACCAACCACCAATTGGTGACGAGTTTTGAACGTATCCGGGGGCCTGACAAGGTTTTACCGGGACGGGGGCAGCCACACTATTAGCCTACTCGCCATTTCAAGAAGGTGTCACCCTTCTTTACACGACTGTCAGCCCTGTAGCATGGTATCCAATCCATTGTGCCGTGTCGTGTCCACTATTACATTCCGTGTCCAGTATGCCGTAATTAGGATCTTACTGGCATCGATCCTAATGTGCCGGTTGGCACTCATGCGGTTTTTTTTTATCGTACAAAAACCGGTATTTCAGCTTTGACTAAATGTTTAGTATTACTTACGGTATTTGTCCCCCCAGTGGTGGGGGGGGGACACCCCTCACCACCCCTCTCCAAAGGGGGAGCTTGCTATCTACTTTCTATATGCAATTTTAACACTGCCGTACTCTAACGGAAATATCAACTCTAGGCTTTCATCTCCTCCATCTATCGTATAAAAATTACCACTTTAGTCTGAAATTAGCATCTTCAACTACGGTATTTCAGTATTTGTAAAATATCACGGTAATACCGGTAAAACCGGTTTGCGTAAAACCGTTTAAACAACCCTACATGGACTTTTCATAGCATCTTAATGTTTGTTTACTTTGCACGATAGGTATCAGTTTGACAGATCGTTTTTGAACCTGGGTTAGTGTTAACCTGACCCTGGAATAAAAAAAAATTAAGTTTTAAGAGTATTTGGTATGTTGGTGTGCGTGACATCGCGTGAAGCTAGCTGTCAAACATCTGTTGTTGCTTGCAATAATTTCGTCTGTAATTTCCGACGCCGTTTGTTGGATATCACGTTTTTAAAATAAAATAATTGAAATAATAAATAAAATGCTCATTATTTACCGAAGAAGGAAAAATTTAAAATTATATCAGACTCCGAATTTTAAAAATCTGTCACTGTTTGGTGAAAATAAAATTCAGATATCGCGCAAAACATGAGTTCGTAACCTTAAAAAAAAATCTATTCTTTGGATCATAATTTCTTGCAAGCTTTAGATTCTTAAACAATTCGTAAAACCAATCTATCGCTTTTCCACCCTGGTTAATTATTAATTCTGGTTTTCTTTCTAATATTATTGAGCATGATTTCCATCACATTGATCAATAATTTGAATGAGATAACTTAAAACTAAACGAAATTTTTAACCCTACATTTTTTGTTCTTCGGTTTTCTGGGAATGGTCATTTAAATTTGTTCATCGAATTCGGAATCAGAATCGGCTTCCGATTCCAGTAATTGAACTGCAGAAGCAGCGAAAGCAACCACAGAAGCAACGTTTTGCATGTTTATTTTGAAGATTTTTTCACAATCCAACAACGCTCAGCTTGACAACTCAGATGCAATTGTATTGGTGAACCCAACCAGTAAACCGTGAAAAATTACAGTGCGAACCTATTAACTTGGAGTTGAAACTAGTGTGTAACTAGGTTCAACCCGTGCGAATAAAAAAACATTTTGACAGCAGTTAGGTTGAAACTGGTGCAAAACTGGGTTGGAACTGAACAAAAACGAAAACGACATTAGTGTGACTCATTATAGACTTCTCTGACGTTTGTGAATTGCACAAGTATTAGTGCAGAACTTAAGGTAAATTCAAAGGTTTTCTTGCACTAATACTTATAATTTACCCCGAGTTCTGCACTAATGCTTGTGCATTTCACAAACGTCAGAGACGACACACGATTTCACAAACGACTCTAGATAAACCCTAAGAGAAGGGTAGACAATACGGGGACGAAAACGGACCACTTTTCTGTCAAATGCGAACCAGCTCGTGATTGGCCGGTTTGAAGTGCGTAAGATAGAGATAGAGATAAATATAGATAGAGATAGAGATAGAGATTAAAGAGTAAGAAGTCAGTTGAAATTTCTCATGAAAGTCATCTTGTAGAGACTTTTAAAACTCTTTAAGACGAATGTTTTAAAGCGAAATGTGTTGCCTGTATCTCTTCTAATAAAAAAAGATATACCCAAATATGGTTAAACATATGAATAAATTCAAATTGATTTTATACGAGTTTAAAAAATAAAATACCTCCATTTTTTCATATTATTGAGAATAACATACGTTGTAAGACAGCAAAAAAAAACTTTTTTTGTTTACCGCAACCAGAGATATTAACATTTGAAAAGTGCATATTTTTAGTATAAAAACGTCAATAACTCTTGATCGGCGAAAGATATTCACAAGCTTTGAAATTTGCGCCTTCTAAAGATCTAAAAGTTATTTCAAGACACCTTTGCTGAGAAATTCGAAATAAGAAAACTAAAGGGTGATACGGTCAAAATTTGGTCAATTTACGCGTGTAAATCGGTGAAATCGTTTATTTAAAAAATCAAATTAAATTTCT